AGATTATCAGGTATGGTGACCCTGCCCTAAACAAAGACACTACTATTTCATATTTCATTGGCCAGTGCAAGTCTGAAGGCCATGTCTACTTTGGGGTGGGAGAGAAGAGTAGTTTTGCCCTGTGCCAGCAAGAGGTGATTATAATAAATCCAGTTACTAACTCCAAGGGATTTATCTCTAAAAACAAATACACCAGCATAAAAGATTTTCACCTGTTGCTTCTTTTTTCTCCTGTCTGTCCCACCTAATTGAGACAGCAGCATGTGTTGATGGGTTTCTAGAAATCTTGTGTACTTACAGTCGGCACCACCTTTTCCCATTCTGCCCCTTGCTTTTAGCCTAGGGCTTGTGACTCTTGCTGGTGCACACTACAGATTTATTCCTATTATTTGAAGCTGTTGGGATAACTTGAGTCCTGATATAAAGAGGAAGATGGTTGGCCCATTTTTGTGCAAAAACCTCTTCCCTCTTCCCCATATGCCCCTGTGTCAGCTCATTCTAGATGTTGATCTTGGAGCATACCCTGCCATTCCTTAGTTCTGGGTTCTTCCATGGAAATGCCCTGCTCACACTTGGTCCCAGTGTGACTTGTGCGTTTCCTCGAGGACACAAGTTTGTTTTCTGTAATGTTTGTGTATTGCACTTCCGTATATGAATTCAAAGGGTTTTCATATAGATTTCCTATACACCTCTGTTATTACTGTCTCTGCAACTGATCACTTATTTGTTCCTCTTTTTGTTTTGTTTTTGAGACAGGGTCTCACTATATAGTTCAGGATGACCTTGAACTCACTGTATAGTCCAGGCTGGGCTTGAATTCACAGCAATAATCCTCCCTCAGTGTCCCAAGAGCTGGGATTGCAGGTGTGCACCACCATGCCTGGCTGTTTATTTGTGCCTCTTGTTAAAGATTTGATTATAGAAATGTTGTCTTTTCATCTGTGTATCCACAGTACAGTATGTAGGCAGTAACTTAATAGATTTTGGTTGAACTGAAAATTATGGAGTCATTGACTACCTAGGGTTACAGAAGAGAGAAGTAAAGCCATACTAATTAAGTCGCAGTAGGTCTCTTAGCAAGAGAAAAGTCTCTGTTCAACTAAATCATGCCTATCCATTAACAATGGACCCTTTTTGTTGTATGTAATGAATGATTTAACATATTTAATTATAACAGAAGTATTTAACAAGGACTTCACTTGTGATTAGATGCGAGGGGTTGATGTTCTGCATAATTGATTGGTTTATACAGTGTATTTACTGTCCTGTGGCCAAGAACAGAGAGGTATTGGTTACAAGGGGACTAGATGGTGTAGGAGAGGAGGGCAGCCAAGCTGCAGTGGGTCAAAGTCAGACACCTTCCTCTGAAGAGGAAAGATCTAAAGTCAAAAAACCTATTCCTAGCCCACAAGTCTTCCTTGTTTTTTAACCTCTAAGGAGAAAAATGCACACCAAATTTTCCAGGTATATTTTGTAAGATCTAGTGTCCCCTTCAAAGCTACCTTTTATAAATGTGGGTTATAGACTCTTAAGTGAAATAAATAGGACACACATGTATAAATACCGAATAGTTTCTCTAGTGCCAGAAACTGAAAGTGTAAATAAAGATTAAAATGATTAAAATGAATGATTGATAATTTGAAATAGGAAGAAAAGGTCCAAGGGAGTAGGGGTAGTGGGAGGGGCAGGGGAAAGGAAAGAAGGGAAAGGAAAAATTATGAGAAAAGGGAAAAAATGGAAACAAAGTCTTTGTAAATAGGGAAGGGTGGAAGGGGTGAAGGGAGGGCAAATAATGGGGAAAAAATGAGAACCAAGATGCATCATGTACAAGTACAAGCACCCAATGATAAATGTAAATGAATTGTATACCTAAAATGTACCAATGAAAGAATTTAAGCAAAAAAAAAAAAGTGGGTTATAGAGATGGAGAAAAGAGGAAATGAGAAGGGAGAGAACTCAAACTGTACTTTCATAATTTGATTCAAAGTTACCTACTTTCTAAATCATTGACACCAATATTTTGGGTCATTTAGGTATTTAGGCTCTGTAGTAGGTGGCTTTTCAAGAAAATGAGCAGTAGATTGCTGATTTGGAAAACTGGCTAAGCTTGCAGACCTGGAAGAGCAGGGCTCCTGACTTTGCAGGTCACCAAACAATGCTTCCAGGGACAGTGAGTTTAGGCTGTGCATTTCAGTGTCAGGACCAATCCCAGCTTGCACTTGGTGCCCCACCATAATTGGTAACAGTGCTGTCTGATTCTCAGAGTCCTGATCTGGAATGAATGCCCTGACTTTGGGTCATGTAGCATAGAGGATAGTGATGTGATGAACAGGAAGGAATAAGACACCAGAATGAAGAAAACTGAAGGAAAGATTATCATGTGAGGATAACACTGTTCAGGGTTTTCCTTAAAAGGCTTCTTGAGGCACTCTGAAATGTTTTACAGATTTTCTTTTGACGTACTTCTCAACATCAGTTTTTTTCTTTGGTTTAGCTTTTTGGGGCCAGTGTATCTCACTCAGCACAGCCTACTTTTATACTTGTGGGCAGCAGTGCTACATGTTTGTGTGATTCAAGGCTAGACAGATTGGCTGTGAATGGAGTGATAAGAATAGAGAGAAACACATACCAGTAGACCAAACTTCCTGCTCACAAGCCTTTGAATATTGTGTTTCACTGTCTGAAATAGCAGTCATTTTAAAGCCGGGATCATTTATTCCTTCTGGAATTAAGCAATAGCACTGTCAGCAAACAGACTATTTTGGGAAGGAGATATAGAGAAATTTTGTTATGTATTCCAGTCTAGGCAGAAGTAACTTTCATGCTTTTGAAAACAGTGGCATTCATTGATAAATGAAAATTGATAATTTTCAGATAATTGCAAAGGTATACACGGCAAGGTTGATATAAACATGTTATGATCTGTGAAGATTAGTAAAGACTGAGTTTAGATGCTTCGATTTGATTGCTTAATTAGCACAAAGGGAACTCTTTGGAGATTTACCTCTAACGGGGAACAACTGCAGAGAAGGGGTAAGATAACTTTTTGTGTCCCTCCCCTCACCCATGCCCTTACAGCATGTTTTTGCACATTACCATGTAGTCTTTTCTTCATTGTTGGAGATGTTTAAAATAAGGCAATAAATGCTGTGTCCCCTGAATCCCTCCTTATAAAGCTGAGATGGGTAGGGCTTGGCAGCTGGTGGCAGCTCCAGACCTATATAAGCACCAGACTCCTGGATAGACAAGATGCAGAGGAGAGCCGGGGCCAAGGTCCTGTAACTATGATCGCCACCTGTCCTGCAAGGGGCCATGAGGACGGAGCCACAGCTGGAGTCCAGATGTTCAGGCAGTGAAAGGGAGGTGGGAGTTTATGGGAACTAATATAGTGGTCTTTTTGATCAAGCTAATGCCCCTTTTGAGAAGGGTATAAGTCAGATATACTTGTCATTCAATTAATGTAGTTAATGAAAACCAAGGAGTTTATTGGTCTATTCCTTTTTTTACTTCTTGTTACTCTCTCAACTAATAAAAGACTCTCTGAATTTTATCTTACAAATTAGCTGCAATTGGAATAAAAACAGCAGCCTAATACTATGTAATATGTTCCTATTTTTTTTTTGGTACCGGGGATCGAACTTGGGTCCTTGCGCTTGCGCAGCAGGTGGCAAAACCATTGAGCTAAATCCCTGGCCCAAATATGTTCCTATTTTATTACTAATAAGCAGTTTGAAAAGTATTTTTCTATGGAAGCTTTTGAAGTCTCTTTTTAATGTGGTAAATGTAATTACCACACATGGTCTTTATTTTTTATTTTTGTTTGTTGTTTTCTCACTTTTGGCATTGGAATTAAAGTGAAAGGTAAAAGTGTTGTGGCTCCCCATCCCAAGCAGTGCCGTCTAGGTTTATGAGAAGCATTTTGTAAGTTATTTCCTGTTGCTCAAAATGTAATGAAATTACTTAAAGTTAAAAACTATAAATGTCTACCTGTTTTGCATGGGGAGTCTGACAAGGGGCCAATTGTGGTCCTATTATTATAGACATCAATGCCTATGGAGATAGATAGATTTTTTTTCGGTACCGGGGTTCAAACTCAGGACCTTGCACTTGAAAGGCAAGAGCAGTGCCACTGAGCTAAAGCCCTAGCCCTAGATAGATTTTTTTTTTTAAACAAATGAACTATCACTTTATTTTCTAGCTAAATGAATCAAACATTAATGATCTCAGAATCTGAGCAACACTGATGTCTTTCTATCTGGACTTGACTTGAAATGATTTTCATTTTAGCGCAACATTCATACTTTTTAATAATTTTAGTCATTCATATGAAAAACTAGTGGGAAAGACTTACGTAATGGCCAAGCATAAAAAGTTTGAAAATTTTGAAGTATTTTTTAAAAAGTAAAGGTATACATACGTCTTTTTTTTTTTTGGTACTGGGGATCGAACTCGGGTCCTTCTGCTTGTGAGGCAGGCGGCAGAACCACTGAGCTAAATCCCCGGCCCCACATATGTATTTTAAATTAAAAGATTCTCTAAGTACCTTTTAATCTCTCTGTATCTAACAGAATATTTCTATAAGAAGTTAGAGAATTTTAAGCATGTGTGTTAAGTTTGTAGTGACAAAAAAGCTAGGTATTTTTGAAGGTAGGCAAATAGAAGACAGGAGGAAAGATGGATGAGGAATAGAGATTTTTAAAATGTTTGAAGTGTCTGGAGACTTGATAAATCAAGAGAAGAGTTACTAAGTGATGAAAGATCCACCTGGGATAGTGCAGATGAAGGTGACAGCCAGACTTGAGTTTAGGAGGAAAATCAGGCCTGGAAAGCAGACGTTCCACCTGGATCCCTAAATGATGCATCCATGAATGATGGGAAACTATCTCCAGTTGAGCATGGGTTGATACCTGGAATGAAAATGCCAGCTTCTTCAATCTTTTTGTTCGGAGTTGTTTTCCTTCCCACAAGCTCGCTGACCTTGCCTCCTCTTTGTGCTCCAGGAGAGACAGCGTCTGGAGACCATCCTCAGTCTCTGTGCCGAGTACACCAAGCCCGACGGCCGCCTGTCCACGGGCACTACCGTGGCAGATGTGCAGAAAATCAACAAGGAACTGGAGAAGCTGCAGCTCTCTGATGAGGAGTCTGTGTTTGAGGAAGCCCTGGGGTGCCCTGACACAAGATACCGGTGCCACCAGAAGGGCTCTCTCCATGATGCTGACCTGGAGGGCTGTGGGAGCCTCAGTCAGAGCGTTGCCAGCCTTCTCTCCACCAGGAGCATCAGGAATGATGAACTTCTCAGTGACCTCATCAGGACCCCACCACCGCCCACCTCTGGCTTTCTGAAAGCTGCCAGCGAGTCCTCTTACCTAAGTATCCTACCAAAGGTAATGCCTGACTTGGCCTGTAGGGCTATGCGTGTGTTTTGGTTTGGTGACTAGGAATTTTATTGTGCAAATTTTCCTGATTGTTCTCTGAGAAGCTTCAATTTAAGAGATAATTTGCCAGACAAGGTACAGCAAATTAGGGTGTTTACCATAAAGTAACCCACTTGGGCTGTAAAAAATACTATAGCCACACAGAAGAACAGAAAAAATGTTTCTCATCTTCCTGCTCCTTTTCAGTTGTACATTTGAGAAATCAACATTAAGTGCCCTACCTGCCTCCCTAATATTTTCTGTGCATATATAGCTATATATTGTAGGTTAGACACACGTATACATACACAGTGTTATGTAAACACTAAATGTTTGGGGAATCTTTGCTTATTAGTACACACAGCTCTGCCTCATTCTTTTTAATAGCAGGTTAGAATTCTATTGTTTGTAAGTTGTTTCCAGTTTTTTTTGTGGGGGGGCCACAATTGTAGGATATATACTTTTGGTCATGGGTGCAAATGCATTTGTAGGGTTACTTACCTAACATGAAATTGCTAGGTCAAGGAGTTTGTATATTCATTTTAATAGTTCCAAAACGACTATATTTCCAGCTGACACTTTTGTACATTTTTTTCTGTACACTTGCCAACATTACATATTAATAAAATTTTTAAATTTGCCAAATTGATAGGTCTTTTAGTTTCTCATTATATATGAAGTTGGGCATTATTTTCGTATTTTAAATTGTTATCTGTAATTTTTGATCCATTTTTAAGAAATTATTTTATTTATCTTGTGTTTACTGAATAGTAAGACCTATTTGTTGTAAGCAAATCAGTCTTTTCATCATAAGTGGTCTTTCTATTGATTTTATTCATGTTATTTTGGAGAGGGCATATAACAGTTGTATTTATTTGTAGTCCTAGTTATTATCTGTGTTTTTTCATTGTATGTTGATTTTAAAATGTCCTTCAAATTTGAAGATTTGTTAAATGGGACTCAAAAACCTTTACATATACATTTTACTAGACTAAAATTAGAGCACTAAAATAAGTGAAAACCAGACACCACAGATTTTTTTAAATTTATTTTTATTTTATTTTTTAATTTTTATTTTATTTTATTTTTTATTTTTATTTTATTTTATTTTATTTTTTCCCCTACCACAGATTTAAGGTAGATTATTTGTTTAAGAATAAACATGGCTAATTAAGCAGTAACTCTTACCATCAAGTTCAACTCTGAAATTTGTGGCAATCATAGCCACAAAACAATGACAACAATGACAGTGAAAAACACCCATTAGTTACTTTTTTTTTGGTACCAAGGATCGCAGGCGCTGGAACCACTGAGCTAAATTCCCAGCCCCATCCATTAGTTAATTTTTAGTACAAGAGAAGGACATACACTGATTCTTTGAGGAAAAAAAATCATGGTGTTAAATTCTGCCAGTAACTTACTACATGAAACATTATTCATGGAAGTTTGTATATTTGCCTAATTTTTGTTAAAAATTCTGAGCTATGTGCTCTCTCCAAAGACCATTTTTTAGGGACAGGTTTCCTCCTAGGGAAGGCTGAAGAGAAAGCTATTGGGTGTAAACAAGCAGATTCTGCCACACGTTTTTAATTGCTCAAGTATACTTTTGTGGAAAAGGAGGCCTCTGGAGCTTAGAGCAGCATCCATGGTCAATAGAGATAGAACACTGCATCCTTTGGAGACAGGACATATCAAGGGCACCTCAGGTCATCTTGCAGTAGCTTAGAGTGCAAGTGAGAGGCTGATGGTCCTCCAGGAATGAGTTTGCTCTTACAGGTTTTCAAAGACAGGTATATACTGACTCAAGAGAAGGGACTGAAGACTCAAATACAAACAAACAAACAAACAAACAAACCGAAAACCTCCTGTTTATTTTGGAAGCTCTTCCTCTCTCAGTCATCAGCCCAATGGAGAATTGCTTTACAAAGTACATAGTAGTATTTGTTAACTGATTTAGCCATAAATGGGGGAGAGAAGAATGTGAAAAATTTATTTATGTAAACAAAGATTTTATCATATTTAGGAAAGTGGAGATATACTAATCTAGAATTTGTGATCTAAAAATATGGTAAATGTTTAAATTTTAAAATATTACAGTAAAAGATACATGGCCATTAATTTCCCTCAAAATATTCCCCCTCACTTTAAGTACACTTATCTCATCCTTCTTGCCACTTTTGAAGCACTTCTGGAAGTCCTCTTTTGTGAGTATCTTTAGTTACATTGGTCCCTTGATGTCCTAAGTTGATTTATGTACCAATAAAAGAACTTAAGAAGGAAAAAAAAAACATTTATCACGGTTGTTTTGACTTTGGGGAAGAGCCAGAAGTCAAAAGGTGTCAGATCCAGTGAGTAGGGTGATGAGGAAACACCCTACTATTTTTACAAGCCCGCCTTTCCATTGGATGGTACTCAGTAGCATTCACTGTATTTTTGTTTACACCTGTTGAAAACATTCATGAAAGAGGACTTCCAGAACTGCTTCAGAAAGTGGCAAGAATGATGGGATATGTGTATTTGAAGGAAGAGGGAATTTTGAGGATGATTAATGGCAATGTGCTTTTTCCTGTAACAAATATTTAAGATTTAAACATTCCCTATATATTTTGATCACTTCTTGTACTTTCTCTAATACTTAAAGATTCACAGGACCATAGAAATACATTAATTTTAACCAACCTTTGTGAACCTATCATCAACTATGGCAAAAGCTGACTCAGTCAGAGTAGCTCCCACCACATCTTTTACAGCATTTGTTTTACAATTGTTTTATCTATGGTGGAAAGGCCTATACCTTCACCTGCTTTGGTTGAATTCTAAAGAAATTTGCAAAAAAAAAAAAGGAACAAGTGGAAAGTGTCTTGTCGCTACCCTCTGTCTCCTTTACCTGCGTGGGTCAAGTTACCTCAAAAATGGCAAATCAGGGATGCACATACATGTATAGTGCACTTATTAAAACATGATGCTCTATCAGTGAATTTTTGCCCACTACTTTAAAAGTAATCCCAGAGAAATTAAAGTGAAAGGCATTATGTTTAAAATCTGACTTTATCACTATAAGGTTAAAGCCATAATTTGTCTCTCTTTGGTTTTCTTTTGTGGTTAATGAGATGATAATATTTTAACACTATTTTATTGCAAAACATTAAATTTAGAATGCGTCATAAATATTTTCTTCTTATGTATAACAACAACAACAACAAAAACCCCTCACAAATATCTCCTAGATGGCACTTATTGCTACAAGCAGTCTCTTCAGTTATCTATTAAATATACCTATTGTGATAGTTTTTAAAAACTTGGAGTTACAAAAATACTTTAAATTTCCACTACTAATTGTAATTCCCACTTACTTCTAAAATTTATAGTTTTGTGGATTGCTCAGTTGTTTTGTTTTTCTTAATGCTTTGCTTCCACTAGTGACAGAAATATTTTTAAACCATGTTGGAAGTAGAAACTTATATGTCATGTTGACCCAACAGGATACTGGCCTTCTGGAGGCCTTCCTGCTAGGATTACTGGTCAGTGATTTTGGAATGCCGTTCACTGTTACCGACATTCCTCATGGCTTAAAACCAGTACCCACATATTAAGACAATGAGTTTCATTGTTTGTAATAAAAAGGTCAGCAGTTGTTTCATTAGTTGGTAAGAATTTGGATTTAAGATAACAATTAAGCTAAATGTCAAAGCTTGGAAGGTTCAGGCACATTTGTTCTAACCTAAGATACTGAACTGTCAATCATTTAATCTCCTCAAGGAGCTGCAAAATAAAGAATAAAGAATCAAATATGGCACAATGAATATTTTCTTAAATCTATTATTAAAACTGATAAATAAAGGAAGGTAGTGAGATATACTAAATTTTAGAGGTTTCTTTGGTTAATTTCAATATTCTTTTTAATGATTAGTGAGCAGTCTCCAGTAATTTACTTAACTGGACTGTTATTTTCAATTTTTTAATTGTGGAATTGTCTAATTAGGGATTTATTTTAAAAACTTCATTTTCAAACAGATAAAATTAATAAACAATATACCAGTACTGGCATCTCTTGCCTTACAGAAAGTCTGGTCTCTTCTAGGTGATATCCAAGAGAGCTAACCTAGAATTCTAGAAAGAAGAGGATGTTTTGAATTTACTACATTCTTTTCTTAAACATTATGCAGTCATATTTGGGCTATGTGTATGATCTACAATGTTGCTTTCTTCCCTGAGCATTTGTTATTATCTCTATTCAAGTCTTTAAGTATGTCCTTTCTCTCATAATTTGTTTGCTGACTTTCTCATTCCTTGCCAGGAACTCAGTTTTTCCATGGAATAAATGTTGGCCAGTGTCCTGTTTTCAATCATAAAGCCCATTTGGCCTGGCTAGTGCCTTAAATATTACATAGGCAGAAAGTCTATACGACAAAGAGAGTAAATGCGCTAATACAAAAAGTGAAACAGCAACTAGCAAAATTGTGTAGTTTAAAATCATTCCAGGGCTCACCAATCTGATATTTGTTTCCCACCTTGTATTCAAAACATAATAAATAAACATAGACGTTCATTTATAGACAATACTAGCTGTGAGTATGGCTAGAGATTCAAGAAACTTTTGTAGGAGACGGGAGAGAATATGGAGCTTGAACTAAAGATAGCAGTGTACTCAAGTGATTCTCAAGGAAGATGTTAGAAGTCTTGACTTGGTTCAAGTTTTTAGCTCTCCTGAACTTTTTCTATAACATTGGAGAAGCCACTTCAGTCTCCATATACCACAGCTTCCTCATCTGTGTAACCTCTTAGTTCTTTTAGCTTTAAACAGGTATGAATTTGTGAATTGAGATTGGTTAGTTTGAACTTATCTCAGAATGTAACTGGTGAGCACGGAATGACCTCTGAGTAAATGTATCAGAGAGCTACCTAATCCAGTCCATAGATGCTTTTAGCATTTATGTGGGCATAGAGGCCATGAAACATTAGGCCTGCAGCTGGTTCACGAGTGAAATCAGGAAAGTCTGGAACTGAAGTGTGAATAACTCGTGTCTGTTGATTAATCACAGACCCCAGAAGGTATAAATGAAGAACAGAGGGCTCAGGAATTGGCTGAGATGGAGGATACCCGGATAGTAATTCTGAACAACCTTGAAGAGCTTGAACAAAAAATCAAAGATATTAATGACCAGATGGATGAATCTTCCAGAGAGGTATAAACTTTTTTCCTTTAGCTTAAAAATATTTCTGCTCATTAAAACACAGGTCTGGGCTGGGGATGTAGCTCAGCGGCACACTGCTTTCCTGGCAAGCATGAGGCCCTTAAGTGGTAAGGGGACTGCTCACCCGTCATCTTGTGCATGGGTCCTGAAAGCCCTTCTTGCTGGCGTTGGTTGGAATGCAGAGCTCAAGTGCTGGGCTGGGCTGACTTTCATTCCCACCCCACTCTAGGGCCAAAGACATGGTTTGTGTGTAAGTTTAAGGAGTTAGCAAAAGGGGGTTGTAGTAGCACAGCTAAAAGATACAGGATAACTAGTTTCCTTAGTAAATGCATTCTGAGCTCTCTAGCTTTCTTAAGTAGGAATCCTAACCCTCCTGGAAGCTCTCCAGAGTGTACTGTGTGCTCCACAGTCTGGCTGAGCAGCAGTACTTTTTGAAATTTTTAACTGTTAAACATGTACCTCTACATTGGGCAACTGAAAATATTCCTGGAGGTAAAATGCTACTGAGCTCTGTTTTGTGTCCTTAGTTGGATATGGAATGTGCCCTTTTGGACGGGGAGCAGAAATCTGAGACAACTGAACTAATGAAGGAGAAGGAGATTTTGGATCATCTAAACCGGAAAATAGCAGAACTGGAAAAGAACATTGTTGGTGAAAAGACCAAGGTAAAAGAAAATAATGTTGGAATATGATTCTTATGGGTAAAGCTGTGTCCCCAGTTCATTAAATTTTAATGTTTGCATAATTTTTACAATTCCTATGATTTGGGATTTGTGTGTCATAATCCCAGAGGCAGTGTCACTACAGAAAAGTTCTAAGATCATAAATTGTCACAAAAAGAGTCAGGTACTGGGCAGCAGAGCCATATAATTTGGTAGCTGATATTTCATGCCATCTCATTCTACTGAAGATGACTGAATTGCTTTTTTTCCCCATCAGCCTTTGTACTCTTCTGATTTCACTGCGTGTGTTAAAGCATCATTCATTTTTTTTTTCTTTTTAAAATACTGAACTACTTTATCATTGGTATCCTGTGGGGTTGGCTTAGGCATATTCAAAAAGACTTGCTTTATTTTTTTTCTGTTTATTAAAAAAATGAATGGGAGCTACTTATCTCACTTGTCTTGCCTTGCTATTATTGTCTCCAATGCAAGTGCACTGCTCTTTGAAAATGTATTTTTCTGGGGATGGGGGTGCCCTCACACAATGCCAAATAAAAATTCTCTGTAAGGCACAGATGACATGTAGCTTGCATGAAATCCTGCTTATACATTTCAGGCCTCAACCTGAATGTTAACTGATGCCTAGTAGAGAAAGTGTGGAAAATTACTTGCAGATTTAGAATTCAGGGTGTTGGTTTGTCTGTTTATGAGGGTTTTTTTCTCCCTGTTGAAAATATTATACATTCCTCTGTCTTTATGACTTAGTTACAACTGAACTAAGCTTAAAAATGAAATTCTGATTTGGGAAGGCAAAAAGCGAATGAGATTTAACACATTTTTTTCCCTGCCTATCATGTTCTTCATTAAACTGAGAAAAAGAAAAATGTAGGGGACAGGGGAAGGGGACGTTACCAGAACCTCTGCAGTGAGTCCTGGTCTCCTGCGAGCCACGGCAGCACACGGTGAATTACAGGAAAGGTAGAAAAATGAGACCGAGAAGAAGCTGAGCTTTGGGTCTGATCAGTGCTGCTCTGGGCGGCAAAGACAAAAACCCCTAGCTTGCAGCACCTTTTATTTAGTACATCCAAAGAAACAAATGTAACAAATGAATAATGTAGATTTCAGTATCATATTGGGATGAACAAGGTGTAACAAAAGACTGGGTGGGGGGCGGCGGAAATCTAAGAACAATGAGGAACTATGCAGATGAAGATTTAGTTCCTCCCAGGAGCTACACAGATGAAGATTTGGTTCCTCCCAGGGCGTCTCCCACAGGTGTGGTCTTGTCCTGGAGCATTACAGCATCATGGGATCATTGAGATCTTCCTTGTGACCTGAGGCCAAAATGGAAGTATGTCTTGGAGTGTTATTGCTGGCCTGTAGGCAGGAGAACTAGGCCTACTCAAATGATTTTTCCCTAGAATTATGTAGCATTGCTCCCAACAGAAAAATGTTTCAATTTGAATAAATTCTAGTGGCCATGTGTGGAAAAAAAATTCTGCTGGATGTGATTTCCTTTATGCTCTCTTACTTGATTTGAGACCCATAAATAAGGGCATTTGATCTTGGTGCCCAAGAATGAGTTCCAAACGATATTTTCAAACATGGAAGTTGGATTAAAAGCTACACCTCAGTTTTTTGGTTACCTACCTGTCAGAATTAAACTACACAGCCTTTTCATATTCGCTTTTAATGTGCTCATTCTAATCCAACCTTTGAAATAGTGAAGAATATATTTGAATAGCAGGTATGCCTTTTTTTAGAGGTTCACAACCAACTGAAAGGACTGATTGTCTAAGTCTTCAGTACAGAATTCAGTTTAATGGCTTATGTTTTTTTGCATTGATGCAGCCAAAAGCTTTTGTTGGAGGTATCATATACCTTGTTTGATGCTCATGGTATTTACTATTAAGTAAATATAAATTAAATTAAGTAATACTATAGTGACTGTAGTAGTGTTTATATCATATTGGAAAGCTTGTGGAACTTGGGATGGAGTTTCATGTACCTTGTAAACTGTCTACCTTCCTCCTCCATGTAGTTATTTATCTTTGTATAGTTCACTTATGCCACAGCCTACAAATCTATTTGTCTGTCTGCTAGCCTCAGGTTCTGCATGAAAGTGAAGCGAGTTGAGCCGATAGGGAATCTCTTTCCAGAGAAAGCTGTGCTATCCCCTCTAGACCCAAGGTAGAGGTGGGCCTCCAGGGACATGGGCAGAAACAGGCAAAGAAACCACCTCCGTCTATTATTGTTTTGGTGGCTTGACAAAAGTGATGCAAGGAGAGTGGACTGCAGGGCTTGAGGTATAGGACTGGCTCACACAGCTGTTGGGGGATTAGCTGGTCTTGGCAGGTGGAATTATTGTCTGTCACCTGAAGTGTAAAAAATGGCATAAGCCGACTTTGGGTGAGGGACTGCAGAGAGGATTTAAATACATAGTTTTTAAAGCTACACTCTAGTGGAGACTCAACACTGCTTGGCAGCACTGTTATGTTTCTCAAATGAACTTACTTTGCTATTTTATGACAGCTATTTCATATCTTCAGTCTGTTAAAATCTCTGGTCCATTCTCCTCCCATTGGCTCAGAGATGATCTCACCACCTGGTTTAGTGAGAAATTGGGAGCATCCAGTCTTCTCACAACTAAGGAAGGTTCTGTCCTTTCATCAAAGACCAATGCTTTTGGATATGTTTGAAAGTCATCCCATCACACTCAAGTCTACAGGACTTTTGCATAAACCCCGCCAATTCATTAGACCTTTATGATCAGCTTGCCACCATTATTATTTGAAAAATTATAATCACTTAAAAATAAACTACCTCTTTATTATGTAAAAATAATTACTTTCTCTCTCTTTTCTTCATCTGGAAGTTTTCAGCTTTATGAGTACACCGTGTCTCTTCCTCCTCATTTCCAAACTAACTCTATCTCCTACTCCGCTTGGCAGAGAACTCCAGTACTCCATAAATTTTCTCCTTTAGTGATGATTCTGGAGACCACTGTGCTTTCCAGCCCACTGGGACTCTTCATTATTCCTGTGATTAGACTTGTGAACAGCATCCAATACTTTCTTCTCTTCTTTCTTCTCCATCTTTGCCTCTGTAGACCATACTTCTCTGGTTTACCTTCTATCACTCTTCTCTCTTTGATACTCACTTCTAATCAAAAAACATTTCTCTTGTATCCTCACCTTCTTTTCTATCTGTGGCTCCAAATAAGTTGCATCTGCTGATGATTGTCATATGCATGTCTGTAGCCCCCAGCCATTTTCTGCATTTCCACTCGCATCTTGGACATATGTACTTAGATAGTTCACAGGTATTTACAACTGAATACATCCATAAATAAACTATTAAACTTATCCTTCTTCCCCATCCTCCAGTTTTTTCAGTCCAAGAAGTCATATCTCTACCCATCTATATATCCAAACAAAAACTTAACACTTCTTTCTTCATCACACACAATTGATTATCAAAGTATTTATCAGTTACGTCAGTGTCTCTGAATCTCCACTAACAGGATTTTCTTCTAAATTATCAAAATCTCTTTTCTAGCCTCTTTTCAGCTTTTCCCCTTCAATCCATTTTCTTCACAGCAGCCCTGGTGATTTTTTGAAACTAGAAATTAGATCATAGGAATTGTTTAGAGTTATATAAAGTACAATGGAATATAACACTCTGGTTAATGTCCCACTGTTCTTTATATAAATCTAAATTCCTGAATGTGATCTGTGACTCCCCTCCCCATATTCACACTTCTCACCATGGCCTTCTCTCTGTTCTGAAACCTGTTGTCCACCCTACCCACCTCATTCCTGCCCAGTCCTCTCCAGACACTGTTTCCCTTGCCTAGGATCCTCTTCCTTATACTCCATGACTAGTTTCTGTCTTTCACTACTGAGATTCCCTGTCACCTTTTCAAAAATGTCTTGCCAGATAGTTGATATTATCTTTTCTCTGTTGTCCTTTTAATTTTTTTACATATCGTATTTTATGACTTGCATTTGTTAGAGGCTTGTTAGATACTTATTTTTCTCTCTAGTCCATGAAATAGAGTGGAGCACTGTGGTCCGCTGTTTATCCAGCCTGTAGTGGGTGCCAAATATGTACACTTAGAAACTATTGTCTTTGGATTTGCCTGGCTGGCCCCATCTGGACATTGCAAGAAACACTGAGCCAAACACCTGCCAGAGAGCCTGGTGCAGCCAAGTTTCAGGACAGCTGGACTGGGCTGCCCAAGTGCACATGCCAGAGGCCTGGAATCACACTGCCAGTTGAGCCAGAGCATAAGACAGAAGAAGGAAATGGCCTTTGCCCTTTTAGATCACGTTTCCCTTCCCATACACCTGTTGCTACAGTCAGATATAAATCCTGGAATGAGAAAAGTAAAACCTGAAAAGATATCCCTGAGGGCCAGGCTCTGATTCAGATATTGATAGTACATCCTGTAATCCTGGCCCTTGTTTTTTGCCTATGATGCCGAGAGATATAGGACTAAAGGGTTTTTTTTGGTACCGGGGATCGAACTCAGGACCTTGGGCTTGCAAGGCAGGCACCCAAACCACTCAGCTAAATCCCCAGCCAAGGACTAAAGTTTTATACCACCTTGAATTTGGAATGTTTATGTGAAATTTTTGGCATTTCCTTAACTCTTGAGGTAGTCTTTAATATTATTTCTTTTAGCTTATTTACTTATTTAGCTTAATAGTTGGTATAAATTAATACATTTTATACATGATTGCTATTTATTTTGTTACCATATAAACTAGACATTATTATATATACAAGATAAAATATAGACAATATATTCTGTATTTATTGAACATTTTTCAGTGGCTCCTTGGGCTGATCTTTCATTATCCCAGGGAAATACTGTGGTGAACATTAATAAGCCTGTTTCCAAGTGTCCCTAAGGTAACTGGCCCCTGCCTATTGTATTCTCAGAGAGTAGCCAAATGACAGATGGAGCCAAAACAAACATGGATAAGGCCTGAACAAAC